GGCGGTAGCTGTGACGGCGACAGGACAGGCGGTGGACACGCTAAGGAAGGGGGTGGACTAAGAGAGGGCGGGAGACCAAGAACCTGCTGAAGGAGTGGAACGAAGTACGGCCGCAGTCGCTCAGCACCCCCAGAACCAGCAGGAGCACCTCCAGTAGCACCACCAGCAGCTCCAGCAGCTCCACCAGCAGCTCCAGCAGCACCTCCAGCAGCTCCAGCACCAGCAGCACCAACAGCAGCACCAGCAGCAGCTCCACCAGCTCCACCGGCAGCTCCAGCAGCACCTCCAGAAGCTCCAACACCTGCAGCACCAACAGCAGCACCACCAGCAGCTCCACCAGCTCCACCGGCAGCTCCAGTAGCACCTCCAGCAGCTCCAGCACCAGCAGCAGCTCCACCAGCTCCACCGGCAGCTCCAGCAGCACCGCCAGCAGCTCCAGCACCAGCAGCACCACCAGCAGCACCCCGAGAACCAGAACCTCCAGCACCAGCGTCCACAGCAGGACCTCCTCCAACACCACCAGCCCTGGCAGCTCGAGTACCTCCAGTACGAGCACCTCCAGTGCCTGTGGTGTCAGCAGCAAGAGTGTCGCCAGCTCCAGCAGCAGTACCGCCAACTCCAGGACGCCTCCGCAGTTGCTGACGAACCGCAAACCACTCTCGCAGCTCCGCTGGCGTAAGGGGCCGGCGAGAAACCGGTCCAGCACCCTCCGGGACCTCACGCACCGGAACAGCACCCCCAGGCTCCGCACCCTCCAGTACCTCACGCACCGGCCCATCACCCCCAGGCTCCGCACCCTCCAGCACCTCACGCACCGGCACAGCACCCCCAGGCTCTGCACCCTCCAGCACCTCACGCAGTGGCTCAGCACCCCCAGGCTCCGCACCCTCCAGCACCTCACGCAGTGGCTCAGCACCTCCAGACGCAGCACCTCGAGCAGTACCACCCTCAGCAGCACCTGAGTCACTAGTGACCTCGACAGGCTCAGCTAAGGGAGGTGGGTCTACCTGAGACACACCTGAAGGAGCAGGACCCTGGGGGGGAAGGGGGTCTACCGGAGGGGGACCTGGAACGAGGAAGAGCGGCGGGGGAGGGAGAGGGGAAGTGCGGTAGGGAAAGAGGTGGTAGAAAGGGACTGACTCGTCAAAGGTAACGTCCTGAGAAGACAGGACCCTGCGCGAGGCGGGGTGGTAAAACTGCCAGCCAAGCGCGTCAGTCGGAAAGCCAAGGAAGACACAGGGAAGGGTGCGGGAGGAGAGCTTGTCCGCGGACGTATCGCGAACAAGAGCACGGGCACCCCAGACCCGGAACACCGACGCATCACCAATCTCCCCCGTCCACCTGAGTGTGGGCGAGGTCTCCAGAACGGAGACACGGGGCCAGAGGTTGAGCTGCTGTGCGGCGTACCGGACCGCAAAGGGCCACAGAAAATGGGGAGCCGCCGCATGGATCAAGGAGGTACGAGCGATCTCCATGACCAGGCCAATGCGGCGCTCAGCAACCCCATTTTGCTGCGGTGAGCCCGGAAGCGTGTAAGACTGGATGATGCCCTCCTCCTGACAGAAGCCGCGCAAGAGGTCGGAGGCGAACTCTCCGCCCCTGTTAGAGTGCAGACGCAGAACAGGGAGGTCGGTCTGAAACCTCCTGCGTAGCTGGAGACGAACCGCTCGGATCCAAGGGATCAGGACAGCAGGGACCTCACCCTTGGTGCGCAAGGGGAAGACCGTGGTGTAACGCGAGTAGTCGTCAACTACCAGCAGGAAGTACCGCTCTCCACCCCGTCCGCTGACGCGGGCGGGGCCCCACACGTACATGTGGAGAGTCTGCAGCGGAGCCTCTGTCGGAGGAAACGAGGAGGAGTGAGGAGCGGCACGCTGCCGCCCCTCGACGCAAGGAAGGCAGGCCGGGGCAGGCGAAGCAGGGAGGCGAGGCAGGGTCCGCGGAAGACCAGACACAAGGACGCGACGGTGCATGTCACGAAGACGGGGCAAGGAGGGGTGGCCCAGACGGTGGTGCCAGAGAACGGTCTGGTGCGACAGGGAGCGACACGAGCAAGGGGAGTCTACCTGACCTGACGCAGACGCCTGACCGACAGCAGCGACCTGGGGAGACGCAGTGGTCAGTGTGTAAAGGCTCGACCCTGGAGCACGCGTGAACGTGGCCAGGTGTCGCCCAGTCCTGGAGCACGTACAGATCGCCACACGCTGTCCTCTAGGGGTGAAGGTATCAACCCAGTGGTCCTGAAGGACAGCGTTGCTCACCAAGTTCGTAGAGAACGAGGGGAGGTGGAGACCTGACAGCGAGCCAGACGGGACCGCTGGGCAAGGAAGCACAGTGGTAGACCGTGCAAGGACTGGACCCCCCGAGGGGTCAGCCAAGGAGACTGCAACCGGTGCAGGGAGCGGTGTCAGGGCTGTGCTATCACGGAAGAAACACCTGGAAGCACCTGAGTCAAGAGTGAAGGTGTGCAAGGCAGCAGAAGGCGCAGTACCTGACAGCGCAGACTCACCCGCACCTAAGGCAGCGGACGCGGTACCTGAGAGCTCAGACTCGCAAGCACCAAGGGCTGTTGGCTCTATACCTGGATCAGGCGGCAGACACAGGTAGCAGTCACCCTCAGCACTAACAGACAATGCATACATGGCAGCAAGAATAGCATCATAGTCAAGAGCAAAGATGTCTACACCCTTCTTAAGCAGATCAAACCAGCGAGGGGTCTCAACCTCCGCGCCCATCTCCTCACGCCAGGCGTCGTCAAGGCGGGAGAAGCAACGCTGCTGGGGGTGGGGCTTGCCGCATGTCTGACCAGCATGCTCACCGGTGCGAATGACATACGTACAGCGAGTACCCCCAGACGTACCCCTCTGAGCCAACCACTCACGAAGCTGCTGAGGCGTAAGGGACCGCTGCTGCTGCTGTCTCTGACCAGCGCCTCCACCACGACCGCCACCGCCTCCGCTGCCTCCACCACCGCCGCTACCGCCACCACCGCCTCCACCGCCGCTACCACTCCCACCAGCACTCCCGCCGCCACTGCCTCCACTCCCACCGCCACCTCCACCTCCTCCACCTCCTCCTCAGCCGCCACCGCCACCACCGCCCTTGCCCCACTTGCCCTTGCCGGTGCGGCGCCGCCCAGCAGAAGTGGAGGCAGCACCAACCGAATCGGCTCCGAGGAAGTCTACAGCGGCAGCAGTGGCGTAGGAGGGAGCAAGAGGGGAAGAAGCGCACCCCTCAAAGATGGGGGTGCGAGGAGCACCACGAGCAGCAGCCACACTAACAATGCTGCTCTCAGCGGCTAAGAGGTGCTCCTCTAGGAGGTCTATGGTGAGGTCGGAGGGACAGCGCGCTAGGAAGTGATCCCTGACTGAGCGAAGGGTGTCAGGGAGGTGGGTCACTATAAAGTGGAGCGTCCAGTACATCGGAGGGGGGTGCTGGGCAACAAACTCCTTGCGGAGTGCGGCACGGACACGAGCGTCACTAGAGCGAAGGTGAGTGATGAGGTCGGCTACTGTGGCAAAACTCGACAGCTCGGGGAACAGGTACGGCAGCATGAGGCGGCTGAGCGCAGCAGTGGCAGGAGAGGAGTAGTGAGCAACTACAGCGTCGTACAGGGCCTTAGCGGTTTTGTGCTCGCCAAATTGCTTAAGTTCCGCCAGCGGCAGGTGGTTGCGAATAGCAAGGCGGGCAGCAGCATCGCGTGTCAGCCACTGAGAGCGCTCGCTAAGGGCAGCTGTGTCAGCAGGAGCAGCTAGAGCACTGGAGGTGTGATCAAAGAGGGAGATCTCGTCTTTGCTGGTGCTAATGAGGTAGAGCTGCAAGTCATCGAGCCAGGCGTCGAACTCTACAGGGCGGCCCTCAGTGTCGAAGGACAGAACACGAAGAGTGGCCATGGTGCTAGGCGGTGACGAGCAGCAGGACGCGCGACGCAGGAGGGCGCGGGCGACGCAGTAGGGCGCGGGCTGCGCAGCAGGGCGCGGGCGGCTCAGCAGGGCGCAGGTGGCTGGGCGGCGCAACAGGGCGCGAGCGGCGCAGCAGGGCGCGAGCGGCGCAGCAGGGCGCGGGCGGCTAAGCAGGGCGCAGGCAGCGCAGCAGAGAGCGGGCGGCGCAGCAGGGCGCGGCCGGCGCAGTAAGGCGCGGGCGGCGCAGCAGAGCGCGGCCGGCGCAGCAGGGCGCGGGCAGCGCAGTAGGGCGCGGCGGGCTCCGCAGGGCGCGGCGGTGCAGCAGGGCGCGGGCGGCGCAGCAGGGCGCGGCCGGCGCAGAAGGGCGCGGCCGGCGCAGCAAGGCGCGGGCAGCGCAGCAGGGCGCCGGCGACGCGACAGAAGGGCGCGCGACGCGGCGGGCGGACGACGCAGCTGCAGCGCACGCGTCGCGGCGGTCGGGCGACGCAGCAGCAGCGCGCGCGACGCGGTTGCGGGGCGCGACGCGGCAGCAGGGCGCAACGCGGCCGCAGGGCGCGACGCTACAGCAGGGCGCGGCGCAGCAGCAGGGCGCGGCGCAGCAGTAGGGCGCGACGCGGCAGTAGGGCGCGACGCGGCAGTAGGGCCCGCTAGGGGCAACAGTAGTTCGCGACGCGGCGGAAAAAAAACGGTGGGCCCACTGAGTTAGGTCCTAGGGACCTCCTGCTCTGAAACCATGTTAAGATAGTTGGCAGGAATGAATGAACTATGAAAGAGTTGGGTACAAATATGAAATCCTAGAAGGGGTTGTACCCCATATTGGCTACCCCACTACAGCCTAAACATATATATCATTTGACACTCGAGTCCCGCTATGTCGACTGCGGTGACGACTTCGTAGGCGGGATGAGCGCGCGCCTCTCCCCGTTCATCAAGAAGCACGGGCCTGAGGGGGGCAATCCCAAGGTGAAGGTGCAGGGAGTCGACTCGGACGGTCGGCCGACTACACACACCTTCCAGCTGCACGAGAACCCAAACCCTGATTACCCAACCCTCGGCACTCACGACGCCTGTGTCAATCTCTGCACCAAGTTCGCCGAGATGCTCGTGCGACACCTCAGCAACCGGTTCAAGGACTTGGACTCCCTGGTGGGAGTGAGGCTCTTCATGCCAGACGAGTGGGAGGATGGGAGAGCGGAGCGCCACAGGCAGTGTCTCGGGTGGCTCGGGTCACTCGTGACGCTGTTCAGGGCAGAGGACATGGACTACATCATTCCAGGTCAAGTTGTTGCATACATTCGTGCTGTCCATGAGGTGCATCTATGCAGGTTAAAACTGTACTGTGGATGGGTATGCCAGGTTATCTAATCCACTCTCTCTCTCCCTTCTGTTCTTTCTGGCAGGGGTCAACAAGTGGAGGGCGATCAAAGAACTACAAACCTTCTGCCCCATCCTCGCAGGCGCCCAGAAGAACGAGCGCAGCTTCCACGCCGGCCTCACAGCAATGCTGAAGACTAGCGACTGGACGTCGAGCTACCCCAACCTGGTGCGTCTCTGGGTGGCTGTCGCCGTGCTGCCGCTGAGCATTGTGGAGTGTGAGCGCGGCTTTTCGCGCCATAACATTATCAAATCGTGGCAACGGGGGAGCCTCAAGGACGCCCGCCTTGAAGACCTGATCACGATGTCTCTCCTCGAGTACGCGCCCAACTACGATGAGGTGGTGCAGATCTGGTGCAGCTACAAGAAGCGCCGCCCATTTGGCAGTGTGGCGGCACCTCCAGCAAGAGAGGGGGAGGGCAGTGGGGGCAGGGGAAAGGAGGCAGTTGAGGAGGAGTTGGAAGCTTGGCGGGCTAAGGGAAGTGATGCTGATGATGACAACAATAACAAGCATGCCTCATCTGACGATGATTAGTGAATTGAACTCTCCTAGAGAAATGCTATGCTTCATGCCTTGCCTAGCTACCAAGCTAGCAAGCTAGACTGTGGTTTAGATTAGATTACAAATATATGGAGAGTAGAAGGTTGAACCCTAGTGTTTTCTAATTATTTTATAGACTTTTAACATCAGGATTTTTTTCTGGGGGACACTGATGCATCATATTTTTTTTTTTAGCAACACTGAACTTTCAGGCTTTCTTTTTTTTAGACACTGTCAATCAGGGATGCTACACAGAGGGACCCTGATGCACTTACGTGCCTAAAAGTGAATATGAGGGCCTGGCGAGACTGCTGCACCTTCATGAATGCTTAGATAAGTCCTTGCTTACTCCAACATTATCTTATATTGGTGAAGGTTCCCTTTAGGGACTCCTCTTTATAAGAATGTACCCCAATAGAAGACACCTTGTGTCTTCAAAATTCAAATTGGCATTATCGTCCATTGAAGCGCTCACAGTATGCTTCCCTAACATGCAGTGGCATACTCGCACATTTATTTGCAAGGGGGGATGCAATTGTTTTCAATCATATCCAACATTCCCAGCTTATGCCACACTTTGCATTACTTCTGCGACAGAGTTGGCTGTTACCTAATTTCATTTTGTTTTGCACTTGTTTGGATAGACAGAAATATGAGATAGCAGCTTTATTGAGTAACGGGGAGCGCTGTACGCTTTGGGCAGGTGCGCAGTAACGAATTCGGGGAATGTACATGCACAGCAGCAGTTGCGGGGAATGGTGGGGAAATGGTCGTTCGTGGTTGTTTCAGAACCACACCCCCGACCACCCTTGCGCCAGCTCCCCAATGGCGCAGGTTTTGCGCAAATCACCCAAGCCAGGGTCAACTATAGTTGACCCTGGTTTGACCCGCTCCTCACCTTCCTCCCATATTCCTGCGATCTGGATGGCTGCCGAGCACATCGAAGCAGTGTGGAAGCATCATCATTCACCAGTACACGGCACTGGCACTGCCTTGGGTTTCACGCCTTGATTAAACAGCCGGGCAGGTTAACCATGGTTTCGTATCAGCTTCCTATATCTGACCGTTTGACCCTTTTCCCCAAACACAAGCCACTTTCGCAAACCGCAGCCATCCCATCTGCCTATGGTCATCCAGTAGGAGTCTCAAGCAGCCGGAAGTTACCAATTTAGGCATTCTCAAGCTTCCTTACCCGTAATCGAGCTCCTACATCCAAACCGTGGCCTTTTCGAACTTCAGCTTCGCATTCCTTATCTCTGCATAGCATGGAGGCGGCTATTGCAAAGACCGCCGGTGGGGCGGTGCACGAGAGCCAAGGGGCACGAGATGCCGCGGAGCAGACGAACGAGGGGATTCAGCTCCAACGCGAGGGTGCGATGGAGGGGGGTGAAACGGCAGGCAACACCAATTCCTAAGGGTCTATGCACGATCTCTCGCCAGGCGACTTGTCTGCCTTGCCCGGCGGCGGAACCCTCTAATCCTCCCAACCATCATCACGAGCCACAGCGCCGCTCGCAGCCACCGTTGCCGTGCAACCCAGCACTGTCATGGGCGCCGACAGTACTATGGAGGTGTGTGGATACCGGAGCAAGCTTGCAAAAGGCCCTGTCTGTACGCTAGCGCTCCCCTTTCGGCACAACATAACCTTTCTTTCTGTGGCTCTCCATGTGCGCAGCAGGTGGATGGGAGCATGGACGAGGAATCGCGTCTGATGCAGGTGCTGGCGCACGCGAAGAGGGAGCAGCAGCGGGAGCTAGCAGCGTTGCTCTCCTTGAAAGCTGCCACGGAGTCATCCGCACGCCAGGACATGGAGGTCTGTGATCAGCAACGCGGCACACCGTTTGGCAGACGTCGAGGCCGTCATGGCGCTAGCCTGTGTCGCTCTAGCCATGCGTGTCTTTAATCACATCCTCACCTGCCTTTCTCTTGATGGTCCTTGCACCAACACAGACACGCAGGAAAGCCTGAAAAAAGACTAGAATTGACACCCGAATACTCCCCCTACAGGAGCTCGATGGCGGGTTTCGGGTTTAGGGTGGCGAAGCAGTTACCAAGGGACATGGTACCCAAGCTAAGTACCCATCTCTCTCTCTCTCTCTCTCTCTCTCTCTCTCTCTCTCTCTCTCTCTCTCTCTCTCTCTCTCTCTCTCTCTCTCTCTCTCTCTCCACTCCCTCCAGGCGTATATGCAGCTTTTGTACGCGCCCCGCGAAGACTCGGCAGAGATGGCAAGGTTCAAGGAGGAAATAGGAGCGCTGCTAGCGCACCGACCTGTTTCTGGGATCGAGTGAGTATGGTGATTGCAGGATATTGTTTGCCTCTGGATGGAATTTTAGCGTCTGGAGTTTTCCATGATCCAGGGTACCCACCTTGCACATTTCACACCTTTTTTCCTGTGCACTTTCCCTTGCCTTGCACCCATTGCCAGGTCTCAGTTCAGGTCCAACTTGGAGAGCCTACTTATCTCCGCCCGACACATGCATGACAGCAGCAAAACTTGCAGCACTCTTCAAAGCAGCACCAGCAGCAACAGCAGCAGTTGAAAACATCTGCTCAAGGAAATCTAAGGGCCCCACATGTACACACTCCATGGGCACGCGCACGCGCAACTTACTGTATCTTCCCGGTTCTGGACCCTCCTGTCTGTTAGAGAGTCCAGTGCGTCTTGTATCCGGGGGGTGGAACGCCTAATCTGGATCAAGATGTGAGGACCCCCCCCCCACCCCCCTCTTGCATATTACGATTTTATATATTCTGGCAGATTGATGAGCAATCATTGAAGAAGGACAGACCATTTACAGAACATGCATTGCTTACTAGTTAGTCAAAATCTACTGCCAGTACCCTACTACCGGTAGTAGCTATAGAGGTGCATATATGAGAGTTGCGCAGTGTTACGATATGGAATCATATGAGAAGGCATTCTTGTATGCTGCAGGAGCCGACTCTACCGAGTATGAAGTCGAGGAGTCAGAAGAGTCGAAGCTACGCAGAAAACGTCTGACCGATGCAGGCAGAAACATTTGAAGTGAAAAGAGTGGGAACAGGTTTGAAACGGGTTCCTGCGCCGCACGGTTTTGAATTCGCTGCAATAAGGTGTTGTTACGAATAGTAATGTCTGAACATTACTGTGCACTTCTCACCTCAGCTAAGGAAGCACGCAGTATCGAGTGTTGGAAATCCGAATACAGTATAACGAATACTGTATACCAGTGTGCTGTTTGGTTTTAGTGTAGTCCTCTTTATAAGTTTCCAGGTCCTACAATAATTGTGACAATTATTGTAGGGGCCACAATTATTGGAGCCCAGCATTATTGGAGGGTAGATGGTACAATTATTGGTACACCATTATTGGTGTGAATGGAGCCATTCTAGAGGGGTAGCTGGATGCATATATACCCTGCTGTGTCACTTCTTCTTCATCATTGAATCATTGAGTTTTCATTGTGTCATCCTTCTACTTTTCAATGATCAATGCAAGATTTCTATCTTGTTCGTTTCTACAAACACGTTTCCGCTACGCTGGCACTATGCCTTTCTAGCATGGTATCAGAGCTACTCTAGGGGGCATGCTGCCAAAACAGGTTCAAGAATTTACTGGCATTCACTTCGGATAGGTACCTGCATACAGTCAGAGTACCGCACACCCGGTCTACGCTTTCGTACACCTGGTGTTCGCTGCTGGTTACAACCGCGCGTTTACCGCACACTTGGTGGACGGTTTTGTCAAGGTCATGGCGCACTTCGATGGCGAAGTGGATGCTGGATATGCGGCTTTTGAAGAAGCCATCATGGCTCAGCATGAGCACCTGGAAAGCATGATTGCAAGGGCACCACCAGCACTCCAAGCTTCGTTAAGGGACAAGTTTGGAATGACAATCCAGCCAAGGACAATGTTCTCTCATGACTCCAGCAATCCGTCCACCCGTGGACATTCTCATTCAAGCACTCCGCGTACTAACCAAACTCGTGCAAATGTTCATGCAGGAATTGGTGGTGACAGGGAAATGGGCATACCTCAAGGAGGAGAGTCATCCCAAGGGAGGGATGCATCCGTCCAAGGAGAGGAGAGCGTCAATCCCGCACCTCAATCATCCATGCAAAGGGAAGCACGGGGGAGGAATGATGAGTATGGGAGCGCCGTGCATGGTGGAATGAGAAGTGGACAGATTGGGCAGCAGGGTGACGGAAATGGTCAAGTGGGCGTGGAAGGTGTCGGTTTTGCCTCCTACACTATTGGTGCTCCCCCACTACGAAGACTTGCAACTAACTCCCATCCCATTGGAGTTCCTCTCATGGCCAGGTCTCACCTTCATGGCGGCTACAACATCATTCCTCCACATGCACATCGTCCACCAATCGGCGCACACTCAGTGGACAGCATGGGGCGGATGGGATACGGAATGCAGTCAAGTGGTGTCATGCGACGCGATCAAGTGGAAGTGCTGGAACGTCAACCTGGTGGACAGAATGGGAATATGCGGCGCACGGTACAGCTACCTCGACCGTCAACCGTGCCTACTCTCTTCGACCCCGCTCCACGTGAATACACGGAAGATGACAAGAAACGACTGTCACGCAAAATGGTGGGAGCAACGGTGGACAAAGCGTTCACCACTACTCCGTTTGATGGCTCCAACTTCCGGGAGTGGGCACTACGGTTTCGTATGAACGCTCGCGTCACGAATCTGTGGGAGTTCTTTGTGACCCTGCAGTATTCGATTACCATGGGAGATGGTGACATTAACGACGCTATGGAGCGGCTGGAAATGCTACAGGCGGATTACACACAACGTGCGGCGCTCGCTTTTTGGGTCCTACTGCACAGCGTCAGCGCCACGATTCAGCTACAGCTGGACATGTTTCAGGAATCCTATAGCCCGGCATATGAAGCATGGGAGTACTTAATGGATACGTACCAGGCCAAAGATTCGGTGGCGAAGGTCTCTCTCTTGAAGCAGTTGGACAACCTGAAAATGGGGAGTCAAGAGAGGGTGGAAGAGTACGTCAACCGCGCAACGGCAATCCGGGACAAGTTAGCACTCGCGGGGAAGATGGTGGATGAGGACACATTCACATTGAACCTGCTCACCGGACTACCGGCACATTGGGAGGAGATGAGGCACTCGGCAATGCTACACAACGTGACGGACAGCTTCACCTTGCAGCGGATGATGATTCAAGAGCAGAGGTATCACGACCTCGTCACGAAGGATAACCGTGACCGGCGTCCACCTCGCATGGTTGGACAAGCACGTGGAGACCGCTCACCTTCTCCAACTGCTAAGGGCAATAGCGGGAAGGAGGGGTCCATTGGGGAGAAAATGCAAGGCAAGGAAGGAAGTGCGGGTCGCTCACCTCTTGTGTGTTGGTACTGCAAGGAGGTCGGCCACCCCTTTTACAAGTGTACCAAGGCACCCCCTGGCTGGACACCACCAGGGTGGGAACCGCATACCCGCGGAAAGGCAAAACTGCACACCAGCGACAGCCGTTTGTCCTCCCCACGAAGGAGTCGCAGCCCCAAGCGTGACAATAATACGTTAAAACAGCAAGGGGCAGCCGGGGAAGACAAGCAACGTACTGTCACATGCGTTGCAACGGTGGGATCGTCACAAGCTACCTTACCACCAGCTAAAGCGTCATCTTGGATGCTGGATAGTGGATGCAGCCAGCACATGACCTCGGACAAGCGCTGGTTTGAAGAGTTAAGGGAGCTAGACGAACTTGTTTATGTGGAGCTCGCTGATGGGAGCGAGCTGAGCAGCACGATGACGGGAACGATCAGAGCAACCGCACCTGATGGAACAATAGTTCGGTACACGGACGTCCTTTACGTACCTGGCTTGAAGAGTAACCTGCTCTCCTATTGTCAGCTGCTGAAAAAGGGAGCGCGCATCAATACCATTACTAATGGAGACACCGAGATCACCATGACTGATGGAGAGGAGTACGTGCGGATTGGACTTGCCAAGAACGTGGATGGAGTGCTCGTGGTGCAGTACGCGCATGCACTTACATCCGCCCATGATCCTGGACGTTCCCGTGATGACGCGTCATCGAATCAGGTTGATCGTGAAGGGGTTACCCTTTTTCGCACACCTGGTGTGCACAAGGACGCACCTGGGAGCACGGATCCCCGCACACCTGGAGTGCACTTGAGCGCGCGTTCTGCACACGCATCTGTTCAGTACCGCATGGCACACAAAGCATGCATCGTGCGCAAGCCGGCACATGATGATACCACTGATGAAGTCTCACCCCACGTCGCGGTGTGGACTTCAGGGGGAGAAGGAAGACGGTTCGCGATGGATTCGGGAGTCGATGGAGCAGACCCTGTAAAACAGGACTTACATGGCGCTGATGAAGTTGATGCAACCCAAGGAAGTGGAGATGCTGCAGCAGATGACTTACCTACAGTAGGAGTGACTGTATCAGAGGAGGTTGAAGACAATGATGCTGAAATCAATTTGGGATGTGCAGCAACGGGCGTACCATCTGCTGATGATCGCCAAGTCAAGGATTGTGGAGTTGTACTCACCTGTGCGGCCACCTCGAACGGTGCTGCACAACATGGCATCACCTAACTCCACACTCACTCATGTGCTTGTAGCTGTGTCCGTGCATGACTACAAGCACATGGGTGAGGGGGAGGTGGGGTGTGGAGTGTATCTGATGGAGCTAGAATGGGACATGGAGTCACGAAGCATAATGGAAGACCTACTCACCAAGGGTTGCCAATAGGCAGGGGGAGCAGGCAAAGAAGATGCAGCCGGTCGTCATGCGTCGTGCTGGAGCGGTATCGTACGACTGGTTGCTGCTGATGAACGGCACTACCGCGAGGGAAGAACGGAGAATATACATGGGCGAAGGTATTTCTGCATACCTGGTGTGGACACTTCTGCATACCTGGTGTGCACATTTCCGCATACTTGGTGGGCACTGCACACATGAAGTGCACGTTACCGCATACTGGAGTGCAAGACATACTTGGAGTGCGCATACTTGGAGTTGACATGCACAACCCTCCAGCTGATGGAGTTCGGCAACTCCGGCTGCTACCGTGTGTCGGCTGGAGTGTATGGGGGGCATCACAAGAAAACATGGGTGAAGTCAGAGTGGACTTGGCATCATCCTTTAGTGTGGCTTAAGGACTTGGATAGCCGTGTGCTATCATAGCACGACGCAAGGGGAGAAAGGCCTACGAAGATGCAGCAAGGGCGGACAGGAAAATGATGCAGCAGACGCGCAGCAGATCGACAGCTGCTGATGAACGACAAGTCGTCGCTTCTATCGGCGAAGTGTGCGCCTGCTAACGTAGTTCTGCGCCTGCCGCACGCCACGCGTTAGCCGCTACCGATTCGCGTCATCCGGAGTCGTCGCAGGCGCGCATCCGATGCGATTTCGCGTCGCCGCACAGGAGGCGTGCGAAAAAGACAGCTGCACTGACAATCGCGTGTCGTAAAGTCTACGGTTTCGGAAATTCGGCGTGCGCTAAGGGCATTCCGCCATGACAATACGCGCATTCCGCCATGGTTTTGATGAG